AAGAATGCTGCACAGGTGCCTCCTTTTCCTTCTGCCCAAAACCATACTCTTAGGAGGGTGCTGCCCACAGTTAGGGTGGGTCTCCCCTCTCTGACATAAGCAAGAAAACCCCTAGGAGGCATGCCCAGAGGCTCATCTCCCAGATGACCAGATCCTATCAAGTCCATGATATATATTAACTGTTGGGAGTTTGGAAAGAACTGCCGAGTGTAAAGAACAGGGGGAAAAAAAATCAGCACAACCAAATGGCTGCCTAAACAAGGCCAAGGACAACACTAATAGACATACTACCATAAAAAGGGGAAGTCCTGAGGGGCCCCGCCCCTAGACAAACAACTACAGACAACTAACCACTGCTGAGAGAAAGAATTAATCTTCCCCTTAGGGATGAGCCCCCTATTTGGTTATGAGTCCTTACAAAGTACTGTACTTTGGCTCTCATCTTGGTTAGCTCCAGTGCATTATACACATTATATAGCTTCAAAGGTCCCCTGTCTCCAGCTCCCCAGACCCTAAGGATCTGTACTAATGTTGGTACACACTATGTGCTCCTTGCTGAGGCTGTAAAGGTCCTGGTCCTACCAGCTTAGCCTGCTGCTCTTCCCTGTGCACCTGCCCCCAGGCTGATCTGTAGCTGGCAGGAAGAACAACCCTGCACTTGCACTCCAAAGAACAGGCCTGACCCAACAACTCCCCTCCTTGTGTGGCTCCTTCTGTGGCTGTCTGATCTGCAAGCAGACTATTACTCATGGAACCCTGGGCTGACCAGAGCACTGCCTGAGTGCATTCTGCCAGGTGACAGGGGCAGACCCGCGTAATACCTGAACCCTTATAGGCACCACCCTGTCATTAGTAACTAATATTAATAGGCTAAAAAGCACTGACCATCAGTGGAGGCAGAGCAGCTCCTGGTACTCCACAGCTCAACAGAACCTCACAGAACAGCTGAAACCACACACAAATGATGGTATGAAGTGTCCTTCAAAATGAGACAAAACAAAGGCCTGTGTGAGAAACCAGAAAAACCCAGGCAAGGCTGCAGTGGTAACCCCAAGTAGTAGGAATATACGTTGACTAATGAATTGTGAGGCTACATGGGGATGCTTTATGCTTTTGTGTATTGCCTTGTATTCAATGTTTCATCAAAGCTGAGGTCACAAGCATCCATGAATGGGCTGGGGAAATGGCTCAGTAAGAAAACTACTTGCTGTACAAGAGGGAGGGCCTGAGTTCAGATCCCCAACACCCTCGAAACATTCACTTGTGGGCTGAACCTCCTACTTCAACATGAAAAGATGGACCAGTGGGTAAAGATGCTTGCTGCCAAGCCTGAGTTCAATCCCTGGTACCTGCACAGTAGAAGGAAAGAACAAACTACCACAATTATCTTCTGACATATATTCTAGCCATGGCATAACACACACACACACACACACACACACACACACACACACACACACACACACACACACACTAAAGCAAGCAAAGCAGCTAGACAGATGTGGCAAAAGATAAACCTGTAATCCCAGAACTAAGAGACAGAAGCAGGAGGATCCCTAAATTCACTAGCCAGTCATTTAGTCAGCTGGAAAGCTCCAGGTGTAATGAACCTTATCTCAAAAATAGAGAAACAAATAAGACAGAAAATAGTAGAAGAACCTCTATCTACTTCTGCCTCCAAACTCGCATACACAGGTGTATATACACAATATTTCATCACCCTCATTCAGCCCACAGAACAGGTGACTGGGACTCTAGAAGGTGAGTTCTCACAAATTTTGCATGCTCCAATGTATTTCCTTTACTATGGACCATGGTCTGAAAAGGACAGAGGTATGGTATTGGCATATGGGGAGTAGACTATCTCAGGCTTCAGAGGCAGCGGTAGAGGTGTGCCTGGAGTGACAGGGACACCTTTGCCAGTGTACTCAAAACCAACTAAGGGACAGCAGGCTGTGATTTAAAGTAGAAACCCCTATTTCAACATGAAATTCATAATTTTTGAATGTTAGAAACTTTAAAATAAGTGAATAAATAACCAAGTTACTAATCTCAGGCATGTTTGTGCCCAACCCCAGAGGACTAAATGTAAGCCACATCTTTGGCAAGCACACAGCATTCTACACTACCTCAGTCAGTACTCTGTGTGGAGCTTTTCTCTCTTTACTAGGAAATGGGTTTGCGGTTCAGGGAGTTGGACATATGAGCTAGCACTGCTAGGCAAGCACCCTACCACTGAGTTACAGCTCAGCTAGGAAGGACCAAGCTTCTCACCTGTAAACCCAGCTGATACAGCAGCCTCCCAGCTTAAGTCTTTGTCGTAATTCAATAAACAAGGACAGTATCAAGGAAGACTGAAATGTGGGCTGCCCTGAACCTGGGCCTGTGATTGCCTCGTCTTACAATGAGGAAACAGGATCAGGGAGATGTCCCCATGGGCTCCTGACTGACAAGTCACTAAGAAGGATGTCAACCCTGCCCAACTTAAGCTACCCCCTATGCTACATTATTGGGGGGGGGGGGTCATATCTAACCAATCCTCTCTGGATTTCATGTTTCTCATTCTGTCCCAAAGAGCTGCTCTCATGGTTCTTCAACCTGATCTCAGCTAATAAATCACCAGCCCTCCTCCCTTGAGAGGTTTATAATCACTCCCTGCAAGGAAAGAGATCTTAATCGGCCAAGGCCGCTCTAGCAGCCAGAGAATGGTTAATTAAGGCAGCCAACAGAGATGACAATGAAGCCTTCCTTGGCAGCCATCCCAGGGCTAAGCCAGTCTGCTCTGTTCCCAGCTTCTTATTGGCATGGATAGCTGTGCATCCTTGTCAGCAGACAACAGTAGAGCCTGTGCCCCCACTTCCAAGGTACAAAGGGAAAACTAAGCTGAGGTAGATGGAGCTGAGGGCTGAGGACATTACAAAGGCATAGGGGGTTTCCTGGTTATCAGAGTCAAGAAACAAGAAACAAAAATTCTAGTCTTCGAGGCGACAGGAAGAGCTAATCTCCCTGTGTGGCCAAAAGGTCAGAACTTGAGGGAGGATAAGGTGAGGGAACGGTGAAAGTTCAGGTGCTGGGGGAGAAAGGGTCACTCTTCTGAGCAACACAAGTCAGTGTTTTCAATGAAGCTGTCAGCACATCCTGCCAACCACCCTCAGAGACCATGCTCTCCCTGTGTGCTAAGCACCAAGGATCAGAGGGAGTGTCCGCAAGGTCACAATCGCCCAAATACAGCTTGCCTCTGTGGCCAGCTGTTGACCTCACCTACTGGAAGCAATCAAGGGCCCTGTGGATTAAGATAACTATCTACCCACCAAGTCAAGATGAAAACCAAGAGAAAAGAAGACTCAGCAAACACAGGGGAAACTGGAAAAATCTTAGCAAACAGCTTGGACACTGACCCACCCCATAGGCAGGCTTAGGACCCCAGGAAAGCTTCTGAGATCACACTATAAACCATTGCCAACAACATCTGAGGCAGGCAAGGCAGGACAGGCTGCTGGTAGAAGCTGATTGAAAGGCATCAAGGCCTTTGGCACAAACTGTCTTGGGATTGGCCCCCTCCTTACCTGTTTGTTTGTTTGGTTTGGGTTTGGTCTGGTATTGGGACACAGTCTCACATAGCCCAGGCTGGCCTCAAAATTATCCTTGTACCTCTAACTCCCTAGTGCTGGGATTATAGGTCTACACCACCATGTCTGATGCCTTTGCTGACTTAAAGGAGACCTGTGAGCGCTAAAAACAATTCAGTGTGAAATTCAGCAGTGAAAAGAACCCTCCAGGCCTAGGCCCTGATCCACAGAACCGAATTCATTTCTCAAAATGAGCTACTTACTAGATAAACAGGGATCAAAGATCTGCTGAAGAGCTGACAGAAAGCCAGGAAGGCCTAGACCAGGTGTGGTGGTGCCCACCTACCACCCTATATGGAGGAGGCTGGGGCAGGAGAATTGCAGGCTCAAGGTCAAAGGCTGGAAGTCCAAGAACAGCAGCCCCTCTTGCTCAGCCTCTGCTGAGGCTGTATCATATCATGACAAAGGCTTTTTTTTTTCTTTTGCTATAATTTATAGATATTTATTGTTTTATTCCCTTGTATTTCTTTTTTATGATAATATTTTTATTTAAATTTGAAACAAGCTTGTCAAAACAGACAAAGGCTTTTGACAAGATTGTGTGTACCTGGTACAGGAGACCTCTGTCTGAAAGAAGAGAGGTGTGAGATGATCTCCACAGACGCCCACCACACACCCCTGCTCTGTCTTTCTGGTGTAATGAGAGCTACTGGGGAAAAGGACACATTTCTGCTCAACAGCAATGCTTGCATTAGCATGAGGACAAGGAAGAGTCAGGAATTGGAGTTGGCAGCCATAAGAAGGGTCTCAAAAATCCACCTTAGAAATGTGAAGGATGGAGAGATGCCTAGCCTTCTCTGTAGGACACAATTTATTCCCAAGTTCACGGCCAGAGCAGAACACCCATCTTGTAGGCTTCCTCACCCATACAGGTGGAACGGTAAAGGCCTCGGCTACTTCTGTGAAGTAGAAGGAGTTAATGTGCATCCAAGATTATCAAAGAGCCAGGGTCCCACTAAGCACCAAGTGTCCCCTATTTTCAGCGATAGCATTTTACAACACTGAGATGGGTAACAGCAGAACTCTGAGCTCCCAGACCGTGGGGTTTCTGGTGCTGCTGAAAACATTTAATTATGGAATGTCATGCTATCCCCATGCATCAAATTAAAACAGATTATTCATTTCCCAATAATTGCTACACCACACTGGAAGAATAAGCACTGTGGCTATAGGCAGCCAAAGCCAGAGGAGTTGGTGACACATGATTCTGAGAAGCACATAGAAGATGACTTCATTTAAATTAAGGGGCCAGACAGCACTGTTTTTGCTTCTGTTTTTCACTCCATGGATTTCTGAGCAGACAAGCACAGGCCCAGGCCCACACAATGGACCTACTATGGAAAGACAGACAAGGGAGTGGGCTTCAAATACCTGTCTCAGTTTTGCTGGAAAAGCCTGCTGCCTGCTTGATGGCTGCTGCCGTGAGTGCTAATCCTCGGCTCCTCTTCATACCATGCTGAAGGACAGCTTCAAACTGGGCACACAGACAGGTCACCCTACAGGAGAAGGAGGGACTCATCAGTCCACCTAAGAAGTGGCATCAGCAGAGTGAGCTCCAGCACTGTAAGTGAGCTGCCAGGTGTGACTCCAAGAGACAACTGGATTTCCAGACTTAGGGAGCACCAAAAGCCTCACCCCTGTTTGATTCAAGTCATGGATACACCTCAGGACCAGTGCTGGAAGAACAGGGGAAAGGATGCCAATCAGCGAGTGATACAAAGCCAATTTAACAACAAATCCGCCCTGTGGGGACTGCATTCAACTCACAAGTCTCAACTCTTAATTCACATCACAATTTACAAAGCACAAAGCAAGATGACATTTTAGAAGCTGATTCCACCAGCCTGCCAAACCAGAAACACTGTAATTTCATGGCCTATTACTTACTGCCATGTGAATTCTTATTCTTGTTCCTTATTGTATTATTATAAGAAAGTACATTGTGAACTCCTATCTAGAGTTGACAAAATTTTCAATTACAATACAATTGCTGTGCACTTAATTGAATTTCTCAATAACTGGAAAAAAATGGGAGATTCGGGGTATTCCTGTAGAAAGATCTAGTCAGGGCAACCAAACTGGATTCTCAGGTCCTCCCTAGGCTCTTGGGTCTCTGGGTTCTTGGCACATGCCTTCTGAGCCCTTCCATTTACAGCCAGTGTATAGCTCCTATGTGCCAGCCTTGTTCTGGGATCTGAAAATACAAAAGGTGGAGAAAAGGTGGGGCAAAGTGCTGCACACCTTTAATCTCATCTCTCAGGAGCAGAGGCAGCTGGGTCTCTATGAGCCAACCTGGTCCATATAGCAAACTAAAGGCCAGACAAGGTTACTTAGTGAGACCTGCCTCAAAACTAGATAGGTTATAGATAGATGATAGATAGATAGATAGATAGATAGATAGATAGATAGATAGATACATAGATAGATGATGGATGAATGATAGATTTAAGAAAAGAAACACAAAAGGGTAGGAGAGACAGAAAGGGCCCCACCCCAGAGCCTCTGCACTGCTCTGAGGAGGCAAGTATGGCCAGAGACCTCACTAAACATTTCAGTTCCTCAGAACTTGGAAGAAATTAGACCAGGGTGGCATGGAGAGTGGAATGGCCAGGTCAACATCTTAAGAGCAGATGGCAGTAGCCTTGGATTTAAGACCTCAATTTTGACAGAAAGGAAGGAAGGAAGGAAGGAAGGAAGGAAGGAAGGAAGGAAGGAAGGAAGGAAGCAGCAAATTAAGCAGAGGGGCCCAGTGCAAAGGCCCTCAGAGCACCTCCCACCTGGCTCAACTTTGCCTAACTTCAAGGATATCTGCTCCACCAATCACCTTATCTGGCACAGTCCTGCTCCAGGGGGCTGTTACTATGTGGTGGTAAAACATTTTCATACCTGTTACCTCAGGAACTCCCCCAACAATGTTTTGAGCACTGATGCAGTAGATTCTATTATCTCCTAACCTAAGTCCTGGCCTCCCTGCTTGTCTTTCTGGACTATCTGTAACCAGCAGGTCTAGTATGTGTTCCCCACATGCTTCTCCAGTGCTTACAGAGTATATATAGGTCCCAGGATCCATCCACAACAAGACAACCTTCTTTGTGAGGCAGTTGTCACTCCTAAACACTTGCCAAGTGTCTGCCACTCCACTGTGCCAAGCAAGCATGCAAGTATATGGGGCTTCCTGAAAGCTAGGACAGACACAGAATTACCTGAAATCCACAGAAACCAAAATTGGAGCCAGACCAGGGCCCCATCTGAGGAGGCAAATATGGCCAGAGACCTCACTAAACATTTCAGTTCTAAACTGAGTTGAGGTTTCTCTCTATTTAAGGGAGACCTCTAGCTTAAAGTGAATCTCTGCAAATTCAACCATCCGATTAACAATCCCTGGCAGTTCACTTGGCTCCAAAGCATAGGTCAGTAACTGCCTGATCAGCTCCAGATAAAGCCAGGCTCAGCTGATTTAGCGTGTCTGGTTCTCCTGGTGTCCTCCATCCCCTCTGGCTCCTACACTCTTTCTGCCTCCTCTTCCTTGGGCTCCCTGAGCTCTAAGAGGGATCTGATTAAGACATCCATTTAGAGGTTGTGTTTCAAGGCCTCTTTTTCCACACGTCTGGCTGTGGGTCTCTGCATCTATCCCTGTTTGCTGCAAGAGGAAGCTCCTCTGATGATGACCAAATAACACACTGATCTATGAGTATAGCTGAATATCATTAGAAGTCATTTTATCAGCTGGGTGGTGATGGTAGATGCCTTTAATCCCAGCTCTTAGGGGGCAGAGATGGAATATCTGCGAGTTTGAGGTCAATGTGGTCTACAGAGCTAGTTACAGAACAGTCAGGGAAACCCTGTTTCAAAAAAAAAGTAATTTTACTGATACTTTTTTGTTTTTAAAGACAAGTAGTGTTTGGTTTTCCTATATGTCTCTTGGCTATCTAGTTCCCAGTTCTTGGTCACCCAAGAAGTGTCAATTATGGGTTCTCTCTGTGGAGTGGGGCCTTGTAAAACTGGCTGGCTACTCCCAGAAGTCCTGAGCCACCATCGCCCTAGCAGATGTTGTAGGCAGGACAGATTGTAGGTCAAAAGTTTTGTGGCTGAGTTGGTGTTTGTTTCTCTTTTGGTAGACAGCAGAGTACTTTCCCATACCAAAGACATTAGACATAGTAGTAAAGGCTCCATGCAGGCATCAGCTCGACTTCTCCATGTTGAATAGCTGTATGGGGATGTACTAGGCAATGGGACTCCATTATCAGTTTGTGGAGAACAACCCATTGTCTTAGCAACAGCCTGGGTTGTTGAGGGATTTCCATGGGACTCTCCTGGCCAACAACTCAACTAAACACAATGCAATCCCCTGTACTTGAAGACAAGAGACAGACAGTTGAGACTCCATATCCCCCATTATTAGAACACTTCATTAGGATCATTTTCACATATTTTATTAAATTTCCACCGGCCTAGGTTTCCATAACATCACTCAAATCCCCTCAATGAGGCTTACTGGCATACTCTCCCTGGCCTGCTCAGCTTGCTTCTTTATGTAACCTAGTACCACTGCTCGGGGATGCACCGCCCACAGGGGCTGGCCTCCTGTATCAGTCATCAATCCAGGAAATGTCCCACAATCTTATCTTGGATAGAGGTATGTTCTCAAATGAGGCTCCCTCTTCCCAGATAACCCTGTGTCAAACTGACAGAAAGCCAACCAGCACACTTACCCAGGACAACAGAGAAGTACATACAACACGTAAGTCCATATGTCCATCTACTTTACCCCTTTCCTTGCACCTTCATATTGTATGTTATCCCAGCCCAGGAACAACCCATAACCCCTCCACCTACCCATTTGCCCACTAATGCTACAGTCACCTCTATACGATCTAATTATAGGTCACTGTGATTGTTCCCATAGTTTACATGTCCAAATTCAATTCAATGTCATTAGGACAACCATCCTCTCACGAAGTGTGTCTCAAACATAGCACAGTGCCCTCCAACAAAACACTCCTCAACATCAGGTGATAAGAGTTCTCTGACCTTTAATTAACTACACAAAAATGCAGGTTAAAAAAAATTTAGGTCAGACATGATGGCACACACCTTTAATCCCAGCACTCAGGAGGCAGAGGCAGGTGGATCTCTGAGTTCAAGGCCAACCAGGTCTACACAGCAAAAATGTTGAATTCATTAAGTTCTTACTAAGTGTGCCCAGGAAATGTCACTATAGGCAAGCATCACCGTCATCCTCAGAAGTGAGATAACTATCAGCCTCTGACTTGTCCATCACAGGAGAGATTTGGAGAAATCACACACCCAAAATCACAGCCCAAAATCACACACCTAGTTGTCAGTGACTTGTGCCCATTGTCCTCCATGCTAACTGCCTCTCATCTCCACCAAGAAGACAGTAAGGTGATAAGGAGAATGAGGCTTACATACGTCCACTGTGCTCCTTCCCAACAACCATTATTTATACCCTAGATAAATGTTTATTTAAATTTAGACATGAAAATGTACTCAGATTTCTTAAATATCTAAGAGCTCTACACCTGCTAAGAATACTCTTTTTCTCGGAAGGAATCAACTCATAGCCGAGTGTGCTGGTACATGCTTGTATAGCTAACACAGGGAGAAGGAGGAAGGCCACCTGTTCATGACTAGCCTAGGCTACACAGTTAGTTCAGGCTACTCTGGGGTGAAGATATAGCTCATGTACTTTGGTTAATAAAACAGAAACATACATGGCTGGCAGCTTACCACTGTAGTAGAATATCTGTACTACAACAAGTATGAGACTCTTAGTTCTATCATCAACACAAAGTAAAAAATAAAACTAAAAAGCTTATGTCAGAGAGATGTCAGATCCAATTAACCAAAACCAGAAGTTTTTCCCAGTCTAGTAAAAATACGGCATCCAGTTAACACCTTCAACTAAGAAGAGGCTGAATGATGGGATAAAAGTCACATGATGCATACAGAGGCATTTAAAATGGGAACAGGCTGCCAGGTGATGGTGGCACACAAATTTAATCCAGTACTCAGGAAGCAGAGGCAGGAGGATCTCTGTGAGTTTAAGGCCAGCCTGGTCTACAAAGCTAGTCCCAGGACAGGTTCCAAAGCAATACAGAGAAACCCTATCTCAAACCCCCACACACACAAAAAGAAAAAAAAAAAGGAAGGAAGGGAGGGAAGGAGGGAGGAAAGATGGGAAAAACAAAGTGAAAGGGAAGGACAGAGTGAAGGAGGGGGAAAGAAAAGAAATCCACTGTATATATCTATGAAATTATCAAAGAATAAATTATATTAAAAAATAAAAAATCCAAGTTCCTTCTAATCCTCTACTGTTCCCTAAAAGATTCTGGCTCTTAGAGTCTTGAAGACAGTGTGGGAAGAGACCTAGTCTAAAAGCAATATTAGGGCTGGAGATATGACTTGGAGGTAAAGCCCAACTTGCCTAGCATGTGTGCTGTTCCTTTCCCAACATTGGAGAAAGAAGTGCAGCAGCAATCACCCTGATTTTCCAGGAAAAAAAGAAAAAAGTAGCTGGGGTCATATGGAAAGAAGTCTTCCAACATCCACTGTTGAGGGCCTGAAAGCCAAAGCAAATGTCTTCAAAGCTCACAATTCATTTCTGCCCTACTGCCTATGTACAGTCTATTCCCCCATCAACAGAGTGATGGACAGCCATCATAAGCTGAATGACAAGTGTACCAACCCAGCCTATATTCCCAAATTTGCATAGTTCCCCAGATGTGTTCCTCCATGGTGGGTACTCCTCACAATGAACAAGGCCCATGAAACACTCAGGCTGGGGTAAGCCAGGCAGAGCCCAGGAGGTCAGAGAAGGGCTTGATTCCTAACTGAGCCCTGAGAGCCCACTCACTTTTGGACAGTTAGCCTAGGAAATCCCAGAGCTCACTACAGTCCTGCTATAACACTCCTGGTGAGTGGTTAATTCTCACTGTCAACCTGACTATATTCAGAATCACTAAGGAAGCACATCTGTAGCCTGTGAAGGTGTTTCCATCCTGATGGTGCACAATCCGACACACTGGAGTACCAAACCAAATCAAAAGAGAGAGCTGAGCAGCAGCACTTGCCTCGACAGGCTTCTGTGATGACACTGTGACAGGGGACAACTGATGGTGGCAGAGAACCCACAAGGGAACAGATCTCTGGGGCAGAGTCCTTTGTCACAGGTGAAGAAGGTCACTCATCCACCATTTCAGACCTGCTATTCTGAAGCCTCAGACTATCTCATTAGCTGTAGGTCTTGGCAGCTGCCAGGAGGGAGTAATAGAAAAGAGGGAGAGGAGACAGGGGCTGAGGGAGCTGGTGTGTCTGGCACTGGAGACAGGTTAGGAAGGACTCCAGAGAAAGACAGAGAATATTCAGGGTCAGGCACACATGCCAAGGATCTGGCTAGTTATCCAAAAAAGCAGGCAGGCCAAGTGGAGATTGGCAAGCTGCTGCAAGATTGCTGTCTCTTCATGGCAGACAACATTCCCTCAACAGTGAAGGTGGCTCCTACAGCCAGGCATGCTTGCAATTTTGTCAAAACTTAGAAATGAGAAGGAATGCTCTAAGGGCTAAGGCAAGCTTTTTGAAACCCCAGCCTCAAAATCAATCTGACCACTCAATGGGCACTACAGAGGGAGAATACAGTCACCCCCCCCCCAGTATTTGCGAGGGAATGTATGGACACTCAAGGTCTTCACATAGGTTGGTATAGTGTCGGTGTCATCTATGCACATCCTCCCATGAACTTCAGATCCTCTCTGAATTGTTTGTAATACCTACTAAATGTAAGTGCTAGACAAATAGTTACTGTATATGCCTAGGGAGTGATGCCCACCCCTCAAGAAAGTATGTACATGTTCAGTACAATGTGTTGATGGGGAGGTTCTGGGGACAGAACTCAAGCCTTGCATAACTAAGCATACATTCTATCACCGTGCTGTAGTCCCTGCCTTTCTCCTACTTTTGTCTGCAGTTGAACTCACAGATGTAGAACTGGCAGATACAGAAAAGCTCAATCCTAAAACATTCACAATGTCTAACTGTCATGTTTAGATATGAAGTACCCTCATGTGTTGAAGATCTGGTCCCCAAGCAGCAGGGTTCAGAGCTAGGGCTTCTGGAAAATGAATGGATCAAGAGGGCTGCGACCTTTCAAAGGACTGATCCACTGATAATTTGTAATTTGTAGCACTAATGGGAAGTCACAAAAACCTTAGGCAGCAGGGCCTATATGAAGAATGTAGATTACTGAGGCATTTTTTGAAAGATGTCCCATGCCCCTTGTTCCTTGTCAGGAGCCCCTCCTGCTTCCCAGATGCAGGCTGAGCAGCTTATACCACCATGCTCCAGATACAGCAACTGGGAACTATTACCTCTGAAGCCATGACTCACAATGGTTTCTCTTTTTAGGGAACTTCTCCTAGAAAGCCTGTCCCAGGAACCAAAATGCTGAAAAATACACTAACTGGGCACCATCATTTGCCTTTCTGAGTCAATTTTATCATCAGAAAAGTCACAATGCTACTGCATCTAGGTTGTCCTAAGGATGCAATGCCAACCCAGCATCAAGTAATCCCTAGCCACCAAAACAGCCATAGCAGCCAGAATAAACTTTTTTCTTTTTCTTTTTTAACTATGTGTGTATGCATGTGCACATGAGCCTTTATGTCTGGTACTCACAGAGGCCAGGCCAGGACATCAGATACCCTGGCACTGTGAGGAAGTTGTGACTCACCTGACACAGGTGCTGGGAATCAAACTTGGGTCCTCTGCAAAAACAGTAAATGCTCTAACCTGCTGAGCCATCTCTCCAACCCAGGAATTAACTTTTTAAATTCTACACAACAGCACAAAACTTTTTCCATATTCTCTCTCTCTCTCTCTCTCTCTCTCTCTCTCTCTGTGTGTGTGTGTGTGTGTGTGTGTGTGTGTCTGTGTATAGGTGGGCACCTATGTCAAAGCAAGCATGTAGAAGTCAGAGGACAATATTGAGTTTGTTCTCTCCTTTCACCTTTGGGTTTCTGGGATCAAATTCAGGTCATCAGATGACACAGCCAGAGTCACCTTGCCTGCACAAGCATTTAACATTTTATATAAGAAAAGGTGCAGTTGTTATGTAGAAACACACTCATCTGACATTCAATGGGAAAATACCTCTTGGGAAATGGACAGCACAATGATGAAGGACAGTGAACACACACACACACACACATCTTGTACACATACACTGTACAGACACACACACACACACACACACACACATGTACACACATATAAACACACATAGACACTACACAGACACAAACACTTGCACACACACACACTTCACATATATGCACCCATGCATACACACCCATACACATTCTAATGTTTGCACATGACATACATACTGCACACATATTTACACACTGCACACATATACACACACTGCACACAATCACACTGCACATACATGCACAAACACTGCACAGACATACCCTGCACCATACATACACTGCATAGACAAACACACATTACACACACTGCTTACATGCGCACACACACTGCACAGACAAGTCTCGCTGGTGAGGCTGTTTGAGACAGGGTTTCTCTGTGTAGCTTTGGAACCTGTCCTGGAACTTGTTCTGTAGACCAGGCTGGCCTCGAACTCACAAAGATCCTCCCACCTCTGCCTCCTGAGTGCTAGGATTAAAGGTGTGTGCCACCAATGCCCAGCTATAAGCACTTTTTAGTCAAGTCTGCATCCCAGTCCAGGACCAGGAACAACCCCTGGACAGAAGTTTTGTATTTTTAGGACTCATCAGTTTTCAGCTGTTCTCTTTATTCTATTTGGTGTTTGTTTGTTTGTTTGTAACAAAAAACAATGTAGCCCAAAATGGTTATCTAGCCACAACAACCTTAAATGTATAATCCTCCTGCCTCCACTTTCCATGCTGGGATCATAGGCAGGGACCACCACACTCAGCTTTCCTGTTATTCTTTTGAAGGTGAAGTTTACCGAAAATGCAAATCCTCAGATGGGTGTGGTGTGCACATCTGTGATTCCAGCACTGGGAGACTGAAGCAAGAGGAGACAGAGATCCAGCCAAGCAAACATTCTCATCTGCTTACATCACTTTTACACTGAAAACCTAGATCTGAAATCTCCATCACAAATTTACAAGCCTTCCAGGTACTTCTGATGCAGGCAGACCCAAAATGAGAATCCCTGTTCTGACAGAGAGTAGGTCCCTTATCAGACCTTAATCCTTAATAATGATGTTACATTTTATTTATGTGTGTATATGTATGTATCTATGTACCTATAGGTGCATACATGCCATGGCAGATGTGATGTGCAGGAGTTGGTTGTCTCTTTCACCATGTGGTTCCTGAGGATAGGTCATCCGGTGTGGTGGCAGGGCATCTTGTGGGCCCTCCATACATACGTTTTAAATTGCTACATATGTACGCATTTCCCACTTAAAGAAAATCCCATGTGAATATCGGTTTTTGCTTCTTTGATATGTTTGTGGGGCTGGGATTGCACACAGAGCCTCATATATGCGAGGTAAGTACTCTAACACTGCACTGTCTATCAAGGTCTCTTTACATCTTTTTTTTCTGTCTGTGACAGGGCCCAAGCTGCCTAAGCTGACCTTTAACTATGCACTGCCTCTGCCTTGGAATTAAAGGTGTGTGCCACCACTGCTCAGCGATCACCTATTTTCTAACATTGAATATTTAGGTTTCTGAGTTTTCACAACTGTAAATCGTCATGGAATTACCTTTATATAAAAAGGTAATTCAAGTAGAACAGGTTCATAGAAGGAGAAGATAGGAAATTAGAAGCAACTGTCACTGCCCCCCACACACACACACATCACAAAGGCAGACACAACAGCCTCCATTTCTTGGCATCTTTTCCTAACTAATAAAGTGGTTGTGAAAATTACCTATTAGCTGAGCATGGTGACACCTGTCTGTAGACCCACTACTGGGAGAGTGAAAGCAGGAAGAAGTTAAGTCCAAGAACAGTATGGGGGGGGGGGGGTAGAAGTATTTGCAACCAAAGCCTGTCCACCTGACTTTGACCCCAGATTCCAAGATGGAAAGAGAGAACCAACACCCAAAAGTTGCTGACATCCACATATGTATCATGCTATGTGAGCACTTGTACTCACACATACTATAATAAATAAACAAACAAACAAATAAATAAATAAATATTGAGCCAGGCAATGGTGGTGCACACCTTTAATCCCAGCACTCAGGAGGCAGATACAGGCAGATCTCTGTGAGTTCGGGGCCAGCCTGGTCTACGAAATGAGTTTTTTTAAAACACAGCATGGGCTACGTAGTGAAACCATGTCTCAAAAGGACAATTAAAAAAAATATTTAAGAGATGGGGGAAAGAAGGCCAACAATGAAGGTGACAAAGAAGTGACACACTTACCTGCTGTCAGAGTCTGATGCGATCTCCTTTCTCCCTCCAAAGCGGATCTGGCACTGCACAAAGAAAGACACCACTGAGGTCAGCTGCTAGGCTGGGACAGCACAAGGCCTTCAGATACAGCTGGACAGAGGCCCTGTGCTTCACAGATGTAAAAAGCCAACACTATAGCCTTAGCCTCCTCTTACAGAAAGCCCAGACTCCCTCTTGAGTCCAGAAGTAGACAAATTAGGCAGACCGGTACCAACGGTTACCAGGGGAGCAGTAACTGGTACCACCGAGCTCTCTGACAGTACTGAGAGCCTCCATGCCTGTGCCAATGCTCTTCTTGACAGAGCCCCCAAGTGGTTAGACTGTGTCAAATGACAGCCACCTGGGTGAGCCATCAGACCTGCCACCTTGGCTGTGCTGAGCAGTCCTGCTGGGCTGAGTGGATGAGGAAGCCACCTTTTTAAACATACCTAAAATGCCTACATTTACCATTTTTAGCAATGAAGTCTGGCCCCCACAGTCAGTCCACCTTCATCACTAATCCTCTTCCGTTGATTTTATCTGCTTTGTTTTGAGACAGTCTCACTCTGTGACCAAATTCACAACAATCCTCCTGCCTAAGCCTTCCAGGTGTACCACACTCCCAGATCACTATTCTCTGACATGGACAGCAAACTTGCATGCTATGGAGATTTAGGATTAAAATTTACACATAGTCAAAAAAGAATACTGTTATCAGAACTTGTGACATGGTGCATACCAAGTGGTATATTTTAGTTGTGAGTAAATGATATATCAATAAATTTGATTTTTGTTTTTTGTTTTTTTTTTTTTTTAAGATAAATATCACATTCAGCTCAGAAACTCTGGCCAAAAACACCAATCTGTTTCTCATTAAGTGCTACATATAACGCCATTAAAATCACTCCCTTGGCTTGCTATGTTGTGTTCTGGATTAACTGCAGACCAAACACTACCTGTGTTAACAAATGTGATTCATCCAGCACCCCCATGCAGAGGAAAAGCCAAGAGATGCCCTTAGGTCTATAAATACCATGACCAAAAGCAACTCAGGCAAAACAAGTCCACATCACAGTCCATCATCAGGGGAAATCTGTGCAGAAAACTGAGGCAGGAACTGAAGAGGAAGCCATGGAAAACACTGCTTACTGGCTCACTACACATGGCTTGCTTGCCCTTTCCTATAGCATCAGGACCTCCTGCCGAGGGTTGATATCTGCCCCTGTGACCTGGGCCCTCCTATATTAATCATTAATCAAGAAAATGCCCTACAGACTTGTCTACAGTCCATATGATGGAGGGTCCATCTGATGGAGGCATTTTCTCTACTGAGGTTCTCCTTCCCAGATGATTCCGGCTTGTGTCAAGCTAACAAAAAGGAACCAGAAAGGACAGACAAGTCTGGTAGCTGAAATGACATGAACTCCCTCAATCTATTCACCAAGTTTCGAGCAGACACTGAATTCTCTGGGCCCTCTTCAACATTTAACCCACCACATGCTATGTATTTCCCTACTTATAAACATATGCAAACAACAGTCAACAGTCCCTCCCAAGATTTCAAATTCTCAGGTTTGGGTCCTCTCTCAATCACTAATGACAGCTTAGGTGAGTTACTGATCTCTGAGCTTCATGTCAGTGTCTTGGTCTATAAATGAAAACAGTCACAGGAACTCTTCCATCGGTGGCCAGAAGAATTCTCTATAAAGCACTTACAGAAGACCAGGCACAAGGTGGACATATGATGACAGCTAGCATTACAGTGGCAAGCAAGCCAGCACACAATCAGCATCAACATCCACAATCACATATCAGGAAGCCAGCAAGACTGCTGGCAACAGAGGCTCCTGTGTGTTTGCACTTTGGGGGGTCATCACTGCAAGCTAGCACCTGTGAAGAGCTGCCTGAAAACAAATCTGCTGGGAAATCCCCTCAGAACTTTGAAACTACACCAATATCTTCCTCTGTCTGTCATTCCCCAGGGCTCTGATTAGTCATTCTCAAATAAACTGGACATAGTGGTACACACCTGTAATCCCAGCAGTTCAAGGTCAGTCAAAGTCAGCCTCAGTTACATAGCAAGTACAGTGCCATCCTGGACAACCTGCTTATACCTAGTCTCAAAACAAGCAAACACAAAACCATTCACAGACACAAAATATGCTTGTGCACATAAAAGGGAAGAAATGACTTCTATATCACCTTTTGGACATTCACACAAAAGGTTAGTGTGTGCATTCTTACCTGCTTTACTGCATCTAGCAATCGCTCCAGCAGGAATTGCCTTTTGTCATCATTCTGTGACCCTGAAATGAAATGGGGTCTAATTACTTCTCTCTGACTATTAGACTATTAGACCATGCCTAGCATGGTAGCACAGGCCTTTAATCTCAGCAGTCAGGAGGCAGAGGCAGGAGGATCTCTGTGAGTTTGAAACCAGCCTGGTCTACTTAATCAAATTCCAGGACAGCCAGGGCAACAAAGAGAGGCCTTGTCTCAAAATAAAAAAAAAAAAAAGGATTTTCTGATATCTGATGTGAAAATACATGGCTGTCCACAAACAAGATTGTCCTCTATTCATCGTTAACAAATAAGTAGAAAAACTGGCACCAACAATCTCTGTTCTGATACTGCAAGAAACTTAGTGTTGCCCCTGGCCTCTACTCAGTGATTACTATTATCATATGCTCATAGACATGCATGCACTCACTCACACACACACACACACACACACACAAGTTGGCTCCATACACTGTCAAATGTGTCCTGGAGGGTAGGGCTGCCCCTATCCTTGATAGACAGGAGTAAAAAGCAGCAATGTAAGTTGCCTGGAATGGCAGGCACTGTGCTCAGATGGTTGTACTTCCTTTTTCTCTGCCATCAGCTAGACAGGCTGGAAAACCTAGTTGCTAACCTTCTCAGCCATTGCTGACCCTACAGAGTTGGCCAATGATGTCTGGGGATGTGGCCCAGCTGAGAGAATGCTTGCCTAACATGCATGGGCCCTGAACTCAGCACTTCATGAACCAGAAATGGTGGGCATACCTGTAATCGCAGTTATTGGAGGGTGGAAGCAGAAAAATCATGAGTTCAAGCTCATCCTCAGTTACAAAGGATCAGCCTAGATTACCTAGACCCTGTCTCAAAAATACACAAACACTAACAGCCTTCACCTGGGCACTAACTGGTATGAGTGTGGTTTTGACAGAAAACATTGCCCCTCCACACCATGGTGCTGCCTTCCTCCAAGCCTGGAAATAAAATGAAGACACTCAGGAAAACAATTACTTTTTCTGAAAGAGACTTTGACGAGGTCAAGCCTACACTGGATTCTCACCAGGCCCCCAGCACATCCTGTGCCTCTCCACGGCCCTCTCTTCACTTAGCAGAAGGGTTAGTTTCTGCTCCTCCCTCCTCACCCCAAATGGAAAATACAGCTTTCTTCCTTCCTTTTTCCAAACACCAGACTCAACAACTCCTTACACTGAACAATAACAACAAGAAATGACAGCTTCACCCTGGAAATGCTTCTACCATCTTTTCTCGTCATAACAGAAATCTATGTGACTAACATACAATAAAAACAAATTAGAAAAAAGAAAAAAATCTCTACTATCTCACTGGACAGGCACTCTACTAGTGTGCTACATGTCTAGTCTCTACTACTAATTTGTGGAGAGTAGGGTCTCCTGTGTGCACTGGGGAGGTTGTGTATGTTTGTGTGTGTGCAGGTACAAGTGTGTGCATTCACATTCAGACACTGGAGGTCAACCTCAGGGTTCACTCCTCAGGAGTCATCTCTGTGGGCTCGTTTTTTGATTTTGTTTTTGTTTTGAGCAGGGGTCTCTCACTAGGTTGGCAATCCAGGGAGCCCCCAGGATCCACCTGTCTCTGCCTCCCCAGGGCTTAGATTATGAGTATACTCCACCACATCTGGCTTATTTACATGGGTACTGGGCATCTGAACCCAGGTCTTTATGTGCCCAGTGAACAGGCACCCTAAAGGCTCTCAGCCTAGTGGCTGGCTCCCTGGCTGTGATCTACACCATCATGAACAAGACTCTGCCTCAGAAGAGCACTGGTGGTCTTATCCCTGAACAGACATGGGAAGAGAGTCTCCAAGATGCAGGATGTTCAGTTGGCTCCATGGCCCTGTATGAGCAGCAGGAAGTACAGACAGAGGCCCCTGACTGTGAAGGGAGGAATGGTCATCAGGAAGTCACAAGACCTAAGTCCCAGCCAGGCCACTTGCTGGCCATGTGACAGAGCAGTCACTTCCCTTCTCTGGACACTGGATAGCTCTACAGTATGCAGACAAAGGGATCCTTCACAAACAGCAGGCAGAAACACAAGGAGCATTCTCACCTTCTCCAGAGACAAACCAGAGAATGAGGCATACACAAAAGCCCTTGACCAAAACTGGGAAAGGGCTCCATCGAGAGGCAGAAGTGAGGCTGGGGGAGATGGAAGTTACTCTGGCACCACACCTATCTGCAAAACACCTGCCATAACCCTGAGCCATGTCTCAGCTACACTTCTGAGATGAACTCTAGTCTTCCTGCTATCTCCAGGGACAGTGCCAGCTAACAACCAGCTTCTAAGCAGCCAGAACAAACTTCCTTATTTTCTTCTTAGATCACCATCAAAATTAAGGTCTCCAAATAAAGGGACTCAGCTCAGTGATAGAACACACCTGCGTTCCTACCCACCAGCACATCAGAGAATGTCCACACAAGAGGTCATTCACATGTTCGTGTGAAATGCCACAACCCAGTTGAAATGACACCCTATGGCCTTTCCTTGTCCCTGTCCTTAGGAGCTAACATTTATTTAGTGTTTAGATTCCCATATAAAGTTTTACCAGGAACTTCTGCCTGAGTCTCCACTCAAGCTGTGTTCAGACATTACCACATCACATTGCCATCTTGGTAGCAGGAATGATAAAGTGAGAGCTTGAGCTATTCTCCTCAAACTGGGAAGGAGCAGACAGAAAAACCCAAATACAGAGACCTACGGTTGCCAGGCATTGGGGTGTAGAGGTGGAGCGCGGGGGGGGGGGGGGGGGGGGGATGCTGCTCTTGAGTGATGAGACAGAGGTGATGGTCACACATTACAAATGGCACTAGGCTGATCAATTTAAAATGAAGGCTAACTGAGTCATATTAATAAAATATTTATGGAAAGTTTTGCCACAGATACATACTATAAAAAAAATGAAATCCAAAGGAACAAATGGAGAATTGTCCCACAGGAAGGAGCACTGAGCTCCATACCATAGCCTCTTACACATTTCTATCTACCTAAGGGGAGAGCACCTGTCAATGCTAGAGGCCAGGGTCCTCACAGGAAAGTACACACTGCCCAAGAATGAGGATTCAAGGAACTGTTGAAGTGCCCTACACAGGAGTAGGTATTAATGCTCTCAACTGGGTGACTTCACCTCCCAGGGGCAACCAGCAGGGGGGATGGAGACTTTTCTTTTCCTGGAGATGGGGCCTCATGTAGCCCAAAGAGGCCAAGAACTAGCTGGGCAGAAGTGATCTTGACTGCCTGGTCCTGATTTCTACTGAGACTGCAGGCTTAGGCTGCTAAGAGCCAGTCCCAGAGCCGCCTCCTCCAGACCCGGCAATCTACAACCAAGTACACTCCAGCACACTGGAGACTTTCTGATTGAAATTTTTGTAGTTTTTGCTTTTATTTGTTTGTTTTTTAAGACAGGGTCTCCTTGTGTAGCACTGGCTAGCCTGGAACTCAGTATGTACACCAGGCTGGCCTCAAACTCATAGAGAGAGATCTGCCTGCCTCTGCCTCCCAGGTGCTGGAATTAAAGGGTTGTGTCACAATGCCTGGCTCTTGTTGTTTCTTATTTTTGTTTTTTGTTATTATGGATTGAAGAAGCTAGGCTTGGTGGTGAACATTTTAAAATCACAGCACTCAGTAAGTTATCACAGGACTGCCATGAATTTGAGGTCAGCCTGAGCTACACAGTGAATCTCAAGCCAGCCAGTGAGTCTCAAGCCAGCCAGAGCTACATAAAAAGACCCTGCCAACACACACACACACACACACACACACACACGCACGCACGCACGCACGCACGCACGCACGCACGCACACACACACACACACACACACACACACAGACCTGCAGTAGGCAGAGGCCAAGAATGCTGCTGAAGAGCTTGAAATGCCCAGGACAATCCCTTCACCAAAAGTTATACAGCCCCAACAGTCAAAGGTGCCACAGCAGCAGAAAGACCATTATCTAAAGCTATGCCACGTGTGGTCTTGCCCCAAGGTCACAGCTCCCTTATTTTACTTAACATCAGGCTCTTTATCTCCTTGAGCACAGGACTCAGTCCATTACACTTCCTGGTGGCTCCTTTTCTCCTCAAACTGTACAAACAACCTTTGTAATTCTTTGTCCAGATTGCTCCTTTTCATTATAATCTGCATAAGCAATTACTAATAACCACTAATAGTAAGCTGTCTTCAAAACTCCTCTGCCAACATCCAAATTTCTTCAATTTAACCTCAGAGTTTTAGAACAAGCAGGAAAAGTAAACACATTCTTTACCAAAATATCAAAAATGGTCTCTAGCCACTCACTAATATTCTTCTCCCCTGAAACTTCTTTAGCTGGGCCCCCACAGTTCAAATCACCCTCAGCACTGTATTCCATGCCCAATAGGATAGCCCAATAAGGCCCATTTAATGCATGTAACTGCTTTTCTAGTCCAAAGTCCACATTATGCCAACAAGCAGCATGGACGGGCTGTCACAGCAATACTCCAGTCCCTGGTACCAACTCTGTCTCAGTTACTGTTCCATTGCTATGAAGAGACATGGTGACTAAGGCAACTCTTATAAAGGGACCATCTAATTGAGGGCATGTTTATAGTTTCAGAGAGTTAGTCCATTATCATCATAACAGGAAATAGAATTAGCTGAGACCAAGTGAGACTGAGCCTGAAATCGGGTTTTAAAACCTCAAAGCCCACTCCCACTGACATATTTCCTCCAATAAGGCCACATCTCCTAATCCTTCTATTGCTTTCAAACTTCCTGATGACTCAGCATTCAAAATATGAGCCTATGGGGGCCATTCTTTTTCAACCACCACAGTCACTTGCAGTTTGCTCTTTGGTTTTTTGTTTCTTTTGCTTTTGGAGACAGTGTTTCACTGTGTAGCCCTGGTTGTACTGGAACTCACTCTGTAGACCAGGCTGGCCTTGAATTCAGTGATCACCATGCTTCTGTCCCCCAAATGCTGGAATTAAAGGCATGTGCCACCACTACCCAGCTG